GCCAGCAAAGTGGGGTGGCTGGCGCCAGCTCGGCGAGGTTGCTCGTGGCCCTGTTTGTGCCAGACCAGCCGTCCAACTGACCTTTTTCAGTGTTGAACTTTGCGCCAACGTATGAGGACCCTCGAACCCGGAACACTCACGGACACAGTCGTCAATTTCGCCTCAGGGGCACCATGGTGTATCTTGAGCATGTCGGAACATTCCCATATGCCATGCAGTAAGGAAGGTGGAATCTGTCATTTTGGACTTTTTTCATACTTTTTCTTTATAGTTTAAATCTCCATTGTCACACTGAGTCACGCTCTGGCAAAGAAGCGCAACCATCTGCAAGGACAACAGTTCTTGCTTCCAAAAAGTGATGCAACATCTTGAAAGATATGGAACATGTTGAGTTGCGGACAGAGTTAAGGCCTCCCGGCCAACCGAGGCCTCTCGGCGGAACAATTCTCTCAGCTCCAGATCTTTCTGCAGAAGGCCTAAATGAGTTCTGAAGGGAAGGAGGGGGATCCAAATGTTTCTGAACCAACGACTCACGACAGATTTTTCGAACAAATGTCGAGCAAGCTCAAAAGGTCCCAGCTTGAGACTTCAGCAAGTCTGTGCGGCGAAATCCTCAACAATTCATAAGATTCCATTCTTTGTTGGACAACCCCGTCTTTGATGTTGGTTCAGCCTTCCTTGGGTGACTTGCCACACCGTTGGCACTCTTAACGCCCGTCATGGCCACCGACCTGTCTGTTTGTGGCGACGAGGCCAAGACAGCGAGGCTCTGGAAGCATGAGGCCTTTGGTCAGCACTACCTGATGGCTTGGACTGCAGGGCACAAGCTCAGGCAAGGGCGGAAGTCGATCTGGGAGACTTCTCCTGTGCGGGATTTGTTGAATATTCATGTATTGTTGTATAAGCATTAATGTATAAATTCTGCCCAACATAACAATAGTATGATATGATGCAATGTAGTGTAATATAGTCTATATATAATGTAACGTATCTTGTAGTAATGTATAGTACATGACAATGATTGATAATGATTGTAGTATTGTGGTATCATACTATCAGACTACCAATAAGTTAGTCTATAACATGTTTAGTTTGGAGAACTCGTGGTCGTGGGATGTCCCTTCTACTGTTTGTACAAACCTGTTCATTGTCATGTGAACTGAAGATCATCAGGAATCACCAATGGCCCATTTTAGCGATTAAATCGGGCTCCAACCATCCTTTCAACATTTGAGCGTACACTGATTTCGCAACATGGCCTTCCGAACGCTTGGCCTGAGCAGTTGTAGTATTGGCTTCACTGCCCAGACACACCAGACACACACCCTAATGTTCTGACACGTTGCACAAACCTGAATTGGCACCTGGACTTGACCAGAAGGGCCAGCACCGAAAGTTTGGGTGCCAGCTGCGAGGGCGAGAGCCTTCCGAAGTGGACAGTTTTACACAAAACAGTTGCTCTTAGAATGGGCATGTAAGGCTCAATCATCCAATTGGATCTGTGGAACATCGGTTTCAAAAAGCGGGGCCTGGCAGATGCCTCAGGCTCTCCATCATCAGTGAGGATTTGCCAACACGAAGCTATTTGGGCAGGATGGGCAAATGAGCGTCACAACGCCTTTGCTGGCGGCGGCTTGCGATCGGGGAAATGGGGCAATCAAGACGAAATGTCCGCACACATGCTAAAGTATGTCAAAGTGTATGCACCATGATCCACTATGCGTATTTATGCGTTATGGTTCGTTCACGAACTACGTTAGACTTCATATTCCCTCGACCTCATCATTCTTTTTGCTGGTAAAGAACCACAGGCTTCTGCAAGTGATGGGCAATTCTCCTTCATCTCCTGATAGCATCTGAGCTGCCCATAGAGATTGTGCACCCCAGATGCTGGCCAATTAGGGTAGGAATTTGTCCAGGAACAGAATTGTACGTCACTGTGTTCTGTGGAGATTGTGCGCCTATTGGAAGATATGGTTGTCATTCGGTCTTTGTGGTCAACGGTCAACCACCACTTTTATAAGCACCCCACATGACACCTGAACCCAATCTTCATGTTTGGAATTAACAAGGGACTTGTGCAGATAAAGTTGCGAAATCCCTCAGTTGCACACGCGCGGTAGATCTTGATAGAATGTTCATGACACTTGCATACACTTGCACTTTCGGGAAAGGTCTCAGCACCTCCAACATTTGAAACCCTTCACACATTCTGAAAACCGCAGCACCTCTTACTCTCGGATGCGATCTCACCAAGATCCCAAGAACTCCCGAGTTTCTGTCCGCCAAATGCCAGAGGAATTGACCTGGTTGTGCTGGTCCCGGGTCCTCCAAACCGTCGTGCCGCGGACCGTGCAGCCTCCGCGCGCCACTTCTTCTTGCGTGGGATGGGATCCACGTGGAAGTCACCACTTCGACGACTTGGAAATCTGAAGCTTAAAGAACGTAGCCATCGATCCATTGGCCTTACAGATACCTACTATAATCATGGTTTCATGATTTAAAGGTGACAGTGGACCTAGTATTTCTGGTCTTGCCAAGCTGCAGCATGCATGAAGAAACATGAGCACGCACTTGTCGGCAAATCTTGGAAGACGTGGGAGACTTGCCATGGACACTCTTTTCAAGAAGGCAAGTAAGTGGGATCAGTGGATCTGGATGGACTTGGAACAATGCCATTCGACCGGGATAGCTAGGTCCCGCTAGGCAACTCGAACTGAACACAAGGAAGTGGCAGCCGCGCAGCTGAGTAGGGAACGTTGGCTCACGTTTGTTGGTTTATGCTGACCAATGGCCGTTGGATGCACAGCGCTGCTTGGGATGTTGGAACTCACATGCTTCACATGGGTGGATGTTCTTAGCTTATTGATTTTGGAGTGTACACTTGGTCGTTGCCCAAACTGTTTGTCGGTAGGACTATTTGACCGGGGTGGGTCCTGTGGTTTGGAGGAAAAGACCAGCAGTTACCATGAACTTATTCCGGCAGACAAGACACTGGGAACGACTGATAGAAAAGCTAAAGCCAGAACATGTCAAGAGCCATTTTTCCATTGAGGTTGAGGGTTTGGGAGTCCTCAGGGGTGCAGAGGTTCATTAGCATTTGGCGATGAAATCAGTGAGTACACGGGCCTCTGCCCTTGCCCAAAGCGTCCGAAAATTGCGTCAAAGGGCCATTCTGTTGTGCAGCCAAAACGGCTGCGCATGTCTCACTTGCCCAGAGGCTGGACACATCACTCTCGCCCAAGCCTGGTCTTTTGCGTGAATAACGTTCCTCATCAAAGCTTCAAAGATTCACACGCTCTTATCCCCTTCACCTCGGCAGAAAGGTGCTTTGCGCTGGTGCAAAAAAGCATCATGGCAGAGGATGTGAATGGAACTTTTAAAACTGGGCGTGAAAAGTCACGTCGGAACCGGAAACCTCCGAAACCGTCTCCCCCCATTTTGCCCTCCCGAGTGAGGGCGAAGGAAGGCGCACAGGGTTGGCAGCCCCTCCGAGTGGTCAGTGGAGATGAGCTTGTTCGTTGGGGGCCACGCCTCAACAGATCTCAGGTGGGTGAATTCTCATGCCAATGTGTAGACTGTAGAGTCTAGACTGGTAGAAGGAGTGGGCCAATGTGGCAAGGTTCTGAATGATGGATAATAATTATGTCCTTCGCTTCGAAAGATGAGGAAATACACATCAAGCTTTTTGAAGCAATACATGGCAAGACCTTATGAGAAAGTCATATTGTTTGGTGCTAGGTGATCCCCATGTCCTTCCATTTTGCTTCAATGACCTCGCACCTGGGACCCTTTGCCCCTTCAAAGATGAGTCCATGACAGTGCCTATAGAAACATGCGCGGGTTCATTCTTTTCGATGCTTTGGTGACTGGTAGCTTCTTGCTCCTAGTAGCGATGCCAGGAGCGCCTCTAGTGGCGTCCTTGCTCCAAACGTAGCGATGCCCTTCGTTACTAGTGGAATTTGGGATGAGCTCGCTCGGATTGTGCGATTTCATTTGCGCCAGAGAATGGCCGCCCGATGGCGTCCTTGGAAATTGGCGTAGCTTTCGCAGGCTTGTTTGGCTTGGGGCGAAAAGTAGAGCGTTCCAGGATGCTTGTGGTGGGTTGGGGTGTACAGCTGTTCTCGCACAATCACAACTGTGGTCAGTGAAGAGACAGCCAAGTGCATCACATACAAAAGTTGAAAGTCTCTGTATGATTAATTATGAATATACTGTAGATATGTAGAGTATAAAGTGAGCACTTTACTATACTTCAAGCTACCTACATTAGACGACTGATACTTAATCCCCTCCGGAGAACATCCTCAAAGAACCTCGAAGAGGATTCCAAGAGGGCCACAACCTCCAATCAAACAAAAAGACACCCTAGTCGTCGAAGGTACAGGATGGTGGATCAGTGGACTCATTTTGAGGGGTTTGTACTTGTGGACTTCAGGCAGAATGTCCTTCCAGGTGCTGGGAGGGTCACCGGAACCCACCAGAGATTGCAGAACTGGGGACAGCTCTGGCGGGACTGCCTTCATAGGGTTGCCCTTCCAGTGAACAAAATGTCATGATTCATACTGTCATTGTTCCGTCTGCGTGTCCCAAGGAGATTGCTAGTGAGTGCAAGAGACTGACTGTTTGTCTACTGTCAAAGGAGCAACAAACTACCAACAATTCCAGCTTGCCGTGCTTATATAGTGAGGGGACTTCAGAGAATTCAAAAGTTGCCAAATTCATCAATGTGAGTACAGCAACAACATACTAAAGGAACGTCGATGAAGACCAATAATTAGATCCAATTGGGTTTAGTTCATTCATGAGTTGGTTTGATTTGCTTTGGAACCTCCTTCACGGGGAGGTGGGACTTTTCCCATAGATGTACACCCTGTATTAAACCAAGAAACATTTGAGAGATCACGACAGATGAACAACCCAGGAGCAAAACAATCAGTAGCCAGTGAAGTGTGTCCAAAACCCAGGGCCCCTCATGCCTGGATGGTGTCAAGTGTCAGGACCGGAGGCAGCGCATGGAGGAAGCAAAAGTGCCTTGGACAAACACTTCAGGGGCCAGAATAAGAAACCGTTGGTCAAGACTCTTGCCAGATGAACACCTATGAAGTCAAGAAGCTTGGGACAACGGTTTCAGCATATAGAGCTTGTCCACCGATATGTTGTAGATTCTTTTTGTGCGGGGGGCACCTCTTGTCCAGCCCTGCCAAAATGCATCCATTGCCCCATGGTTTTGGTCAGTTTTGGTGTTTCGAACAGTCAGGCAAATTTAGGCAGACTTGAACACCTTGGAAGAAGGATGAAGAACATGATTTAACAGATGCCTTTGAGATTCTGTATAGGGATCATCATAGAATGTGGTGGCTGAGTGGTTTCACGATGCTGAACAACCAAGACATGTCGAGAGTGCGTTGGCGTTGAAAGATTTTGAAAGGAAGATGTTCTCCAGTGAGCATGGCCAGCACCAAAACAATCCATGAGGCTTTGGGTGAAGAAATTGAAGAGACCAACGAAGCAAAAGAGAAGGCGGGAAGAGCAGGTGGAAATATCGATTTTACATGTGCCCGGCATGCCCGGGTCCAATCTTCTGTTGAGATGGCCTTCTAGCATATACTATTGACTATAAGGCTAAACCAGGCTAAACATTATAGTGACCATGTTGAGGTATCAAACAAATCTTGACCACACAACAATAAGTTTGTTTGCACCATGGCCGAAACACTCCTGTGGACCTGTAGTTGTTCCTGTTCCTGTTCCTGTTCCTGTTCCTGCTGTTGTTGTTGTTGTTCCAATCACTGATTCATACTGTTTTGCGAAGAGAGTTTCTGATCCAGGCCAAGCGTGTCTTTCTGATTGGATAGAGACATAGTCCGACATAGTCTTGTTCGAGCTGGCAGAGAACAAAGGTCTGAGCTGTGTGAGCTGTTTTAGCCAGATTTATTGGAGTCTTCAGAGAGGACCTCAAAACCCCGTTGACCGGCACTCTCAATTCCCTCCAAGAAATTCAGTCAGAGGAAAAAGAGAAAGAGAGAGAGAGAGAGAGAGAGAGAGAAAGAGAGAGTCAAGAGATGACTATGACAGATGACGACGGGGATATCAATCAAAAGAGTAGTATACAGCATACAAACATCATCCAACATCAATCATCCACTCCTGAGTCCTGAGTCCATTTTTGGCCCACACAAATGCCACAATCGCCCATGTCTTTCTGGTGCGTTCCTTGAATCCACACCTACACTGCAGGTGCAGCAGGCGATGGCCGCACTGAATGAGAAGCTTCGGGAGGTGCAGCGGTGCTCCGCGGTCGGCGGTGACAGCGGTCGCAGGTCCAAGACCTGAGGCCTTGTTGAAGGGTGGCTCTTTTTCGAGCGAGCGGTGGAGAACGTGTGGTTCTTTTGGATTTCAGGGCGGCTCGAGCGAGCCCTGGTGAAAAAAGGAAGTTGGAGGCTGTGTTGGTTTGCATCTCCGTGGACATTGATGGACCAAATCCTGAGAAATTTGACCCACAGCATTACATTGTGTCATGATATGGGCAGCACATCCAGATTTATCCATCAACATCCAAAGCTACAGCCGCTGTTTGATCCTCCGCTTCAACTCATCCAATGTGTGTGCTTCCTTTGAAGAGAGTGGCGCCGACCGGTCGAATGGCAAAAACCCGAAACCCGGCTCCACCGGACGGTGGCTCCACCAGCTCCACATCGATCCGGCTCGATCGAATCGATCGGCAAAAAGGAGGTCTTCGGCCGAGACTCCTAGGGATCTCAGACGGCATCTCTTTCTATCTCTTGACAGTTTCAAGCTCCTAGCGGTGGGATATACTGAACCTGAGCTTCAGACTCGTTCCAGAGATGCCGCAGCACAGTCACCGCAGCACCAAGCTTTTGGAGGAATGGCAGGTTTTCGCTATTCGCCCCGAACTTCACCAAGCATACGAAGGGCCGAATAGGTTCCACACCTTTGGAACACCAGAGAGTGAGTCGAGCACATTCCACTCACTTGTGCTTGTGATCAAGCCACGAGTTTCCTCTCCGGAAGAATACTTTGCCTAGTGCTCCGTCATGCATCCGTCCACCAGATCTCAGATAAGATTGATTTGCTTCTCCTACGTCTGGATGAAGCTGCAAGAATTCACATCTCACCAACAGAGAAGAAGCATGTCATGATATGTCAAGAATCATGTCCTCCCTATTAGTAACAAGTGCATCGCTACTAGTAACAAGTGCCTTACTAGTAGTAACAAGAAGCTACTAGGAACAAGTGCTGAGAGCTGATCGAGTTCTGGCCGAACCCTTCCCGTCCAGGCCCAGGAGCAGGCTGCTGTGGGTGACACGGTGGCCGCCCAACGCGCGGGCACTTTGGAGCAGCTCTTGGAGAAAGAGGCACCGCCGCGGCCGGGCACCGCCGTGTCATCGTCCCCAGACATAAGACGTTTCCATGTGTTTGCCAGTACATCATAGTACATCTGTACGGGGATTCATTTTCCTGTGTTTTGGATGTGCAAACTGTTATATAGGTTATATAATGTTAGAAACAAGATCTACGCATGATGCAGGTCCACAAGATATTATGTGATTCATATATTCATTTCGTAGTCAAAACGATGCGTTCAATGTCCATCATTGAGTTTATGCGGGGTGGGTTCCATCAACTTCTGACGGTCCCATCTCCGTTTCACCCGTTTCCTCGACACGAGGCTCCCCGGCTCACACAGCTCTTTGATGAGAAGCGGCAACGGTGCTCTCAACAAGTGGGAAGGGGACGAGAGAGAGGGGTTAGGGGGTCTTCAGGTCGTTTCATGGTGTAGGTATACTTGCATCGTGTGGGTGTATTGTATACGAGGTGCGGTGAGTCATTCTTTACTATATTATACTATATTTTATAAATGCAATTTCTCGCTTTTGGACAGCTTGTTTGTTTGCAAGAGAACGACAGCAAATCAACTAGCTGCTAGCTAAAGGAGTGGAACTTGACAGTTCCATTTTGTCGCCGATCGTTTTCAAACATGACTTGGAATCACATTCCCTCCACTCAACCTCCCCTGGTGGCGCTTCAAGGTACGAGCTGGACTTTGCCCGTCTCCGCGAGCTGAAGTTGGGGCTCCAAACCCGGGGGGCGAAGGACGCAGGACACCTTCGCTGGTTTGCACGGTCAGGACACCCAGTGGTATGGACGCCCTCGTCGCTGGAGGGTGTGTCGGGTAGAAACTTCCAGGGTGAAGAGTGGATGGCAGTCATACCGTACCGTTTCATGTATTGATGGTAGGCATGAGAGAACTCTGCATTGGGCTTTACAAAGTACAAACTGTGAGAGTTGGACCGCTGCCTACGCCTCACTAGGCCTCGCGTGCCTGGTATCCTTTTGGATTTGACACCTACTAGTAGCAAAGATGCTACTAGTAGCAAAGGACATTTCTACTAGGAGCAAGGACACTACTAGTAGCTCCTGGCCTTACTACTAGCAACAAGAAGCTACCGATTTGGTGTTTTAGGTTTGGTCACGAAGGACGACCGCGCTGCGGCCGCGGCCGCATGCGGACCTCGTCCGAGGCGCGAGATCAGCCACCTGGAGCACGCAGAGAAGAAGTTGGAGACGACGGTGGGCCTGGCCTCGGAGCACGACGGTAGAATCAGCTGGTGTTGTTGCTTAGATTCTTCCCCTTCTCTTTGGAAAATCCAAATCCCCTTTCTGGAAAGTTTTTTTGCATTGTTGTTGGGTTCCTTAAAAACATCGGTCCAGCTATGCTTTAGCATATGCTTTGGGTGCAACGCCTGGAAAAATTATGCGAACTGCCAGTACCTCATGGGATATACTGATATACTGTACGGGTTGAACAACTGGCTTTGAGATTCACAACAGCTAGATCTTGGAACCTTGGAACCTCAAAGCCTTCACCTATCCACTGGAACCTCAACAAAAAGTGCATGTTTTTGGATGTTTTTGTAGGTACCGACCAATCTGCACAGGTGCGAGTGGTATTTTTCGGACATCATGATTTTTAGAGCACAATCTCCTGGCCCCTTAGTACAAGGACCTAGGGTCAGTCTGTGGAACTACCTTCCTGTTGCGGGTCGACAAGGGGTCGGAGGCCGAGGGCGACAACGAGCCACAAGGGACCGAGCCACAAGCTTTGGCTTCGTTTGCCACAGTCTTTTTTTAAATAAGATATCTGAATGATTCATTTTCTTCAGACGAATCCAAGTGGTCCAAAGAATCGTCCATGGAAGAGCAGCATGCAGGCTGCAGGCTTCTTTGAGAGGGAACATGTGTTACATCTATGCGGCATCTTGTTTCATTTTTTGGAGCATCCTTCCACTGGCTTGGCCCAAAGCCTCAATCATTAATCATGGGGATTTGGGTGCAATTCCTCCCGCCCAGCTCTCCGTTGAGGTACAAGCTGAGTTCCAGCACTGGCGCCAAGCAGTGGCAAAGAGATACCCTGAGGCCTGTGGGAAACTTGCATGAGGATTAGTGGATTGAACATCTCCACTGAATCTTCCAGTAAACCGCCCTCCCACAACCCAAAACCGCATGAACACTCATTTGGTTTGTAGCACCTCACCTACTTGCCAGTGATATTACTTACTACCCTTTGGCCGCAGGCGCCCAAAGAGGAGCTGAAATCGAGGCCGTGGTTTGATGACGGCCCGGCGCAGACAGGTTATTGCATGTTTGGCATGGACATCCCACCCCCGCAAATGTCCAAAAGTACTTGTGCATGTGCACACTGCAAAAAGCGTACGAGATTACAATCATATTTACAAACGGATTTGCCTGTAAACAGCTGGCCTTCCAGAGGACAGAAAATACATCCATTTGAAAACGAGGTTCAAGTTCATTCGTGCTTGACACCTTTTGGTTTCTCGGGGTGGTTTCCAGTGTGACTTTGCTGGGGCATGGTCAAACCAGCCGTGTTGGAGAAGTAGGCTTCGGTCCTTGTTCGTCATTGATGGTTCTGACTTGGAAGTTTCAATACATCACTAGTTAAGCGTTGTCACTGACTTGTGCAGGATCTGCATGAGTTTGTTTTATGTTTGGGTGTGGGAGATCCAGTGCGACCACGTCTCAGGGCTGACAAGAACGTCGATGACCGCGACCTGGCAGAAACCGAGGCGGCGGGATGAGTGGCCTTTGGTCGGACATGGTTTTTGTTCACCAGTAGCAAGGACGCTACGCTACTAGGTGGAGGCGATCGCTATTAGGTTGGAGGCTATCGCTACTAGCAGCAAGGACGCTACTAGGTGGAGGCCATCGCTATTAGGTTGGAGGCCATCGCTACCAGTAGCAAGGACGCTACCAGGTGAAGGCCATCGCTACCAGTAGGAAGGACGCTACCAGGTGAAGGCCATCGCTCTTAGGTTGGAGGCCATCGTTACCAGTAACAAGAAGCTACTAGGGAGAACATCCTCCAGGAGTCACATGCTGTGTGGGAATTAGATCGCGGTGAAACTTGGGCGTTATTTAGGAATCCGGGCATTCGCAGCAGGCTGGGCCTCTGTGTACGGGTGGGGCCCTGGGGGGCCGTTCAAAGACGAGTAAGGACGTGAAACCAACCACCTATGTTCACGTTCTAGTCATGCCAATGAATTCGGGGAAGAAATCGACGAAATCCTCGCCCCAATGCTACTGTCTCCTTGGCACTGCACCTCCGTGAGCAAAAACCAACGTTGGCCATCTAACCTCACCCCACCAGGAGCGCGCCGCTCCGGCTGAACCTGCTGTGGCCCCTCCCTGCCAGCTTGATGATCAGGCAGGACAGATCTTAGGTTGGAGTGGCAGTGGACCTTAATCAGTTTTCACACCGGGCGGAGCCGAGCAGGTGAACACTTAGTGCTTTGGCTATACTGGGGGGATTTCAAGTCACCTGGAGACTACTGTAAGACTTTGCCAATGTGACCATGATGTGTGTGACCAATTGATGCCGAGGGGCCAAACACAAAAAGATACAAAATCACCAAACAAGTAGTAGAGGACGCTACTAGGAACAAAGGGCATCGCTACTAGGAGCAAGGACGCTACTAGGGGCTCCTGGCCTTACTACTAGGAACAAGGACGCTACTAAATCCAAAGAAATCAAAAGAACTCACGAAGTTCACCAAAGGCTTTGCTCAGCCCCAGGTGGCGAAGGTGGAGCAGGCCTTGGAGACCTTGCGGACAAGGCTTCAGGAGCTGGATTGATCCGGGGGGGGACATGGAGGTGCTGTCGCCAATCAGAATCCAAATGAAGAGATGTGTTTTTTGTACATCTTCTGGAACCTTGAATATCTTGGAAGAGGCCTCCCTCCCACCCTCCCACAAGATTCAGAGTTTGGATGAACATCCTTCCTGACCCGAAGGGGTGTATGGTTCAGTTCCTTTTTCTGATAGATTCCTTTGCTAGTAATTACAAGTGCCTCGCTAGTAGTAACAAGTGCCTTACTAGTAGTAACAAGAAGCTATTAGAATTAAAGGGTTAGATCCATCAGGTCCCAACAGTTCTCAGATGAACTTGACATTCACTTGGGCTCGATCTGCTGGAGATTGGCAATCCGCCGACCTCAGGTGGCTTCGTCTTGTGTGGATCAAACTTGGAGCACTGGCCTTACAAGCCCCTAGTGTTGTGTTCTTGCTCCTAGTAGTAAGGCCAGGAGCCCCTATGAGTACTTATGAGTATCGTAAGGAAGTGCTGCAATCCTGCATTCTTTCACCTGGTTGCCGCGTCCAGTCCCCTCGGATTGCAGGAGGCCCAAGATGCTGGAGATGAGCCAAGGCCCCTCTCGGACGGACCGCATATGACGAATCCCTTCTTTTTTCTTTTTCGGTCGCTTTTGGCGGTCGCTGAGAGGGGGAACACAGGACATATCATGACATCCAAAACCAGACAACCAAAAAAACAAAAACGACGCTGCGCAGACACCTCACGTAAATATTGTGGCTCGGTATTTTTCACCGGTGTCGAGTTGGACACCTCCAACGCAAACCACCCAAGCCAAGCGCCTTTTGAGCGATGGCCTTTCGACCGAGAAAGAGCACCCGTAGAGGCGGCGGCTTTTGGCCCAGCTCTTGGCTCAAGAAGAGCCCAGATTGGCCAAGCTCAAGCAGAGGCATCACATCGGCCGGGTGGGTGGCGGTGGTGAGTTGGGTCTGGATGCTCTGGTTACTGGTTGAGGTTGAAGCATTTGGAAGTTCTTCAGGAAAAGGTGAACCACAACTCCAGGAAACCCAAGGGACCGGGAAGTGCTTGGAACCCTGACAAATCCCTGGCAAGACTTGAAGACACGACTTCTGCGGGATGATATTTGTATATCATACATATTTGTGACATGCGATCTGTTCATTGGGTTGAAGTTATCAATGAAGATCATCCTTAAGTTTAGCCTTCCAAAACACACTATCTGTACTTCACTTGGAAGTTCACCCTTATCAGCTTTGGCCATCCGACAGTCCGCCCCTTGACCATCTGGTGACGGGTCGCCCGGTTCGATGTTCGGCCGCTTCTAAAGGGTCCCACGACCGGTCACGGTCACAAAACAAGTTCTTCATTGGAAGTAAGATGAAGTAGCGAAGTAAGTCTATCCATGGTATTCTCATTGTTTCCGGAGTTGTACTGCGACAAACATCGTAATATGTCGATTTTTGTTTTTGCATGTTGAAAAACCTTGTCCCATGGGTAGATGCATCGTGGTTTCTTTATGTTTCTTTTGGTCTGATGGTTTGCTCTTGTTCAGTTGGAGCCACCTTCGGAACAGAATCGCGCTGGCACACGTTTTTTTCCATCAAGAATGTCAAACCGGTCAAACAAGGATTGAATTGTACTCTGAAAGTGGAGAATGGCAACGGAGAAAACTTGCCTTTTCTTGGAAGTAAGCCAGAAAGCCTTCACCCACTGATCTTGCGAAAGACACAAAACTCCAGTAGATTCCATTCCGACTCAGGTGGGTTTTTGATGGTTTTGTTATGTTGCCACCACTCCTTGGGCCAACTGTTCCTTTTTTAGGAGGTGTTATTAATTGAGGGCAAATTGAGGGGCCTGAATGGAATTTTACTGGGGAGCTTCCTGCAGTAATTGCCCATGCATGCCCGGCAGGCGCCCAAATTGCTCACTGTGTATAACTGTTTTTCCAGAACTTGTCATGGCGTCACCCGGACCTACCACTCATGAAAACAGATTATGGTGTAACTTGGTATGAACTGGTGATTCATTTTGCACTTTTTGCAGGCCGATGTATGCCAATCTGGCTTAAAGTCAAAGATAATCAGCCAGCACACCCTTTTGGGTTCTCTTCGCCCGAGGTCTCCCTGCAAAAACTCGAAGTCCGTAGTTTGTGGCATCAAGCAACAAATTTTCGCAATGTAGTTCAATACCTGGAGAGCACCTCAAAAGAAAAATTATATCCTCGTTATGCCAAAACAGGCGCATCTACAATGGTGCGGTTAGGATATCACTGTAGTTTGGTTGGGGGTATCGCATCCCGACCAACTTTACCGCAAAGGGAGAAAGCTATGAGTATTTTGCGAGATTATATATGCATCCTTACCAGGCCAACCATATCCTCTCAACGTTCGCCTACCTTTTGTGCCAGACCTTTCCTGCCCGCTCGTTGGTAGTGAACTGCCTGGTGACCTTCCATTTAATAGGCGCCACAACCTGTACCAACGGGTGAAGAAATGCATTCGTAACCATACTCCTCTTGATTCAATTTGTCTTGATCAGTGAATTAGGAATTTAATCGCTTGAAAGCACTCCGCTGTAGTCTGGTGTTTAGTCTCCTCCGGTACTCCCCCATTTAGCCCGGCGGGGGGGTAGGCCGTAGAGGTGAGGATGGTGAGGTAGCTTAAGTAGCTACCTAGGAAGCTACTACCTAGCACGCAGGATAGCTCACGCTTCCTTGAAGAAGCGCTCGCACTATTCATTTGGTTCCTAGATCTTTAGGGAAACTTAGAGCGGTGGTACCTTGTTCCTCCTTGTTCCTCCTTGTTCCTCACGTTTTCGCAGGGGCTGAAGAGCAGACCCCAGCCGACCGCCACGCCAACGGGCGCGCATAGCCTCGCGCGCCGGCGGAAGAAAAGAAGAGAAAGACACTCGGGAGTCCGGAGGTCGCCCGGACATAGGCGTCGGTGGAGGGGTTCCGGAAGACCCCGCCCTTCTGGCTGTAGAGAAGGCCTGGGAAAAGATCGTGCGAAGCGATGTCCACGTGTTCAATGAAGTTTACATAGTTTTGCACATTGTTCTTTCATAAATTAGTCTATTTGTTTGAGGAAGACACGAAACCATTCATGCTGGTTCTTGCACCAAAACGATATGTTTTAATTTTATCATTATTTCTCCAATTATTGGACACAAGGATTTGATGGACTAACACATATTTTCCAGGTGGACGTTGGACACGGCTAAGTGAGATGCAGTGACAGAGTGAACCCACAAGGGGACACAGAGGGACACAGAGGCCATTTTTTAAACACATTATTTAGTTGGTTCGTTTGGTGCTTTTATGCATGCACAGTGGTCAATTGACAGGCTTGAGCAGGCAATAGATCATGCTGGAGACTGCCGCTTCATAGCCAAGATAGAGCAGACAGGTCGCCGACATGTGAGGCCAAGAAAGTGACACTGCAGCCTGCAGCCACGCATCTTTGTCAAACTTCAATGCTCTCATCATTTAATCGACTTAGGCTGCCAAGCAGAGAAGCAGGCATTGACTGCCATTTCATTGCTTGATTCAATCTGGGGTGAATTTCAAGCGCGTTTTCATCCGGTCGACCTTTGGAACACTATGAGTCTTTTTGAGAACGCGCCCGACAACAGAGTAGGAGGACTTAAAGAAAGACATGTCTTAAGGTCTAGAGCCTGATGGACAAATGGAAACACATGCACGTGGCAAACCCTTTTTCGAACCTGAGAAGGGAAGAGCCGAAGGTGGCAGAAGGTTGCCGAAGGTGGTCAGGTTTATTGGAGAACTCCACAAAACACCCGTGGGATCTTTGCGCGATGGCCATGAAGCCGCCTCATCAGATGCGTGTGCGGGGGAGACCCAGGGCATGGCCTTTCCAGCACATCGAGTGATTCCTTTGGGCCATTTGTAAGTAAAGGATAGTAAAGGCACGTCACCAGACCATGGTGGTGAAGACCAAGGGTGCGCAGAACCAAGACGTGGACTGAAACATCGAGGTATTGGAAGGACAGAACCAAGACACTGGTGGTCATTTGCTCATTAAAGATTGAATCCACAGTTGCCATGATCTGCATGCGGAATGGCTCTTTTAGATGTTAAATTAGGGGTTCATCTCGGAAACGTCAAAGTACATCTCCAGGCCAGGCGTGTTTGGGCAGCAACTGCAGTTTCTTCAACATATTGGTTGGTGATTTGTGATTATTGAGTAATTACTCACGTCGACTTCAGGGGCCGGTCTTCCACTCCCTGTTACGTTTGGAGTTCCGTTGGATTATGTTGGATTTAAAAAGACTGTTCTTCGGCTTAAATCCCAGCAAGACAGTCGAATCCTGTCGGGTGTTTTGCCCTAGAAAGACTGCAGAGACTGGTCAGACCTGTCGGGCCCTCGGGGGACGGATCGTTTGGTGCTCAGACCAGTGGTACTTGAATATCCCCCCCGAAAAGGTCCTCGACTCTAGGACGCCGATGCCGACGGTCTGTCGGTCATGGAAGATGTGCCCAAGGTGCGTCATTGGCGCAGGCCCTGCTGGTCTGACGACCCTGAAGCAACTACAGGCAGAACTGGGTCGTTCGATGATCGTGATGATCCTTCCAACACTGGGAAGTTGCAATTCCTGTGACCAACCGGCTAGGCTAGGTGTGCCATTCCGGGCCGCTGCGCGGCACTGCTTTTGGGCAGGTCCACAAAAGGATTCAACTTCCCACAATCATCAGGTGGCTAATCCTTGCATTCTTGAGTTGGGGACACGATGGGACACGGAAAGATCCATTTAGGGGCACCATTCCATCTTATCCAAAATAACACCACAATATGAACTCTAGGCCCTACAACTTCAACAAAAGTGCACTACACCTGATGGCTGCAGGATCTTTTTTGGCTGAAAGCTTGTGGCTTGTGCACTATCATGGGGTGCGCTAGCAGCGCTGTGATTCACGACGACTTGGAATGCTGCATTACCGAGGTTCATGATTCACTCTATCCAACTCCTGTGTCCAACGTTTCCGCTCACCCGGAAGCTAGTAGAGCTGAGAAGAACGAATGTTTTTGCCCAGCAGGTTGCTCAGTCTTCTCCGAAGAAAGTGGGACGAGCAGAATCACGGCCACTTCCATGAAGAGCTACCTGACTGACAGAGGTTTGCGCATAGATGTGGGTGATCTCGTTCTGAAGCGCGTGCTTTGCAGCACCATCAAGAGCACAGTGTCCGTGGCCGGCTGGCATGGGCAAATCGTGGCTTTGAAGCAGCTCAAGATGGACCCATTGACAGATGATCCAGAGGAGAATGATGCAAAGTTGACCGATCTGATCAATGACATCCTCATTCTCAGTGCGGTAAGCCATCCATGTGTGGTAAAGATGCTTGGCGCAAGCTTTGACACAACCGAGCCCATGCTGCTAACAGAATTCCTTGAGAACCAGGATGTTGAGAGCCTTGGTTGCAGTTCAGTCAGTTCAGTACATATAGTATCATATAATATATAATATATACAATTACAAGTCGCAGCAGCTGAACTAGGTTGATCACTATACCCTTTGCACTCCGCTTGGTCTAGAACATTGACAGGCTGCTGACCTGAGGACGTTCATGCGCAAGCGACGGGTCGCTTCCGTTGATGGGTTGTGGAAGCCACGGTTTCCTTTGGCGATGCGTTGGGCACTCTCCACTGCTACAGCCTTGGCATATTTGCATGGCTTAGCACACCCCATCATCCATCGGGACCTCAAGCCCTTGAACATGTTCCTCACAAAGCACTTGGAGGCCGACAAGAGACGTGGTGGGAAAAGCTGTCATGTTTGGCTCATCCCAAGAATTCCGCGTCAAAACCAATCGTTTGGAAGTTTGGAAGGATCTGGGGATGGCGCCAATGACTTGGCAATTCCAAATGCGTGTCCCCAAGGCATGCCTTTTCTTCCCTTCAGACTGCATTTTAAAACTCCAGTTGGGTGTTCAGAAATGAGAAAGGCCTAGGCTGAACGAGGACACGTTCATAAGACGTTTCAGTAAAAGACTTTATACATCTTTATACCTTGAAGGCTTGCAAAATAGCATCTAGGTATTGCTGTAGATGATTAGATGTGTAATGATGTGTATAGGCACCCCACAGTCCGCGTTCCACATGGATCAAAACAGATGCCCAACGCTCTCCCATTGCCAAGCCATTCCGTGAGATGGGCCAAAGGCTATTTTTGAATCAATCGGCTCCGCTCACCAGGTGAAGATCGGCGATTTCGGATTGGCCAAGATGATGCCAAGGCTGGAAAGAAGGAGCTTCAAGATGGAGACTGTCCACCCCCAGCAGCGCTATTTATTAATACAAAATATACAATATAAACATTATTTCATTTTGTTGCTGTAGCATTTGCATATTGTGCGTCCTGCTTACTTGTGTAGTTTGCACTTGGCCTGAAGGGCCTCGACCTTGTCAAACTGCACAGTCTAGAACGACTGTGGCCTAATTTGCTAATTTCCCGACTCAACTCTCAAGCTATAGCTGTCGTTTCCAGCTTCAGCTTGACTAAATAGATTCTAGCAGCTTTTGGTGATTTTCTTAAACTTGGATATTTTTGAGACTTTCACTTTCTTGGCCTCGACGCGACCTTGACTGGAAGGTTTTCTGATGGTGGGACCCCTTTGCACTACTGGAGCGTTTTAATACCGAGTTTCAGGGCCCGGAGCAATCAGATCGTACGTACCTTTATCCTGAGTGTGTCTGGCTTCGTGCCAGCCTGGAGAGAGCACGAAGAGTGCCCTCCGTGGCCCTGTCGAACAGGGGTTTGTCTTGTTCACCCAGCCGGTGAAGAACGTGTCCAGACGAAGGAGTCTTAGCACAAAGGTCGATTAAGATTTGATGCCACCATGGAGCAGGCCGTGTGGCCAGGAGTAGCCCACAGCAGGCGTAGGTGCCAGTCCAGTGGATCATGGATGACCGTCCCGCACTTAACGTACACACTGTGTGCACGTACACCAATGAGGTGAGGTTTCCCTAGGCTTGTTTTCAAGAGGCTTGCTTGGCTTGGTCTTGTTTGTCCCCCTTCATAATTTGGTTTCCGGTTCATCTGCCTGCACGCCCACGCACTTTCCTTTCCTCTTTCTTTTCATGTCTTTTCCGCCTTCATGTCCGGCAGTTTCATCCCTCTATTCTGTTGCGCACGCCTCGCCGGTCGTTCCTGTTCATGTGCTCTTCACAACAAGCACCTACATTTCGCGTCTTTTTCATGTCTTTCCTTCATGTCTCTTCATGTGTCCCTCTTGCGTGCACATGTGCACACCCCTGATACCCGTCCAACGGGGAGGGTGTCAGTTGGTGCTGACACAGTGGGCTCCACTGTGTACCCGCGTTTTACCGCTAAATTGCAGTGGGCTCTGCTTGAAACTAGAACTCGAAAAAGTTTCCAGCCTTTGCGTCAGCTCCATCACTGCAGTCATGAATATTGCCATGTGACTTGGATAATTTTGAGACTTTCATTTTCTTCTCGAGAAGACCTGCGCTGGAAGGTTTTCTGATTGCACTACTTAGGCGTTTTAATACCGAGGTTTCTTCATGGCTTGGAGCGGTCAGATCGTAGGCACTTTTATCCTGAGTGTGTGTGCGTGTGTGTGTGTGTGTGTGTGTAGCCTGTCATGTCAGATGTGTTTAGCAGGGGACCAGGCAGGGTACCTCGTCGCCTGGTCAACGATGCTGGCGATGTACCTGACGATACGGAAGTGGGACGCCGCCTCCACGTACTGTACCCGCTTGTTCTAACACTCACCTTTCCTAACTATTGACACTGGCTTCTCTTCCTTTCACGAAATCCCGGTGCACTACTGAAGCTGGAGAGCCCGGTGTCCTACTGAAAATGGCTTCTTTTCCCTTCACCAGGGCCCGGTGAACTACTAAGATCTTTTTCATACTGAGGTTTCTTCGTGGCTCGTGGCGTGCGGCGTTCATATCATATGGTTACTTTTATCGCGAGTGTGTGTGTGTGTGTCACACCCTGGTTCTAAGGGTTTTCCACCTTTTCACCTTCCCACTACCACTGAGACCGTTCCAATTTTCCATTGTTCCTATGATGTGAACTCATCAAAGGCAGGGGAGTGGAGCAGGCCTGCAGAGCTCCACTTAACAAAGCTCT